CTGCCCGGGCCGCGGCCTCCCGGGCGGGCGGCGGCTGACGGTGGCCTCGGGGACTGCCCCGGGCCGGTGAGGCCTGCGGGGTGGGCGCGTTCCCTCGGCCCGGCACCTTGAACCTCGGGCTGCCGTGGGGAGCAGGCCCGGGTGAAGGCGGCGGGGAACCGCGCGCGGCCTGCTGGCGCCGGGAAGCCGCGGAGTCTTGTGAGCTCCTCCCGCCGGGTCCCCGCGCCTCCCGCCTGGCCAGGCCCGAGGGCCCTTTGCGCGGAACCGTGTGGCGGGCGGAGGGGAGCGGTGGAAGCGAATGTCCCCGCGGCCGGTGTCCGTCGCTCCCCCGGGGGCTGCAGGCGAGCGTGTCGCGAGGCCTCAGATCCCTCAACAGGTCCTCCCGGCTGCCCTGCGGGATCTGCCGCCTTGTGCCCACGCAGAGCTGGGGAGAGAAGCTGATGGGGACGCTGCCTGTGGGGCTGTGGCCCGAACTTTCACTTGCGCTGTCTCCCCTCGCGTTTTTGTTTTTTTTTTTTCTGGGCCGAGCCAAGGCGCTTTTGCCGTGTGTCCGTGGGACTTTGTCGTTGGTGATTTGTCGGTGGTGCTCAGTGGATGCCGTGTGTCCGTGGTACTGACTGTCCTGTGTGGTGTGTGTGGCACCCAGTGTCACGGGCAGTATGCACGCAGTACCCCGTGTCCTTTAATCCGTATAAACGCCGGCCGGTGCCACTGCACCGCTGAACTGTGCCCGGAATCCCGGGAGAGACAAGATGTGTACATAGTATATAGCATTGTGTGTGGTTGTGTGTGTGCAGTATCTTTGTATATAGAGTATCCAGTGTCATAAAGTGGTACAGAGTACCTGGTGTTAATGTCCCTTGCACAACCAGTGTCTTCTACTGTGTACACACGCAGTACCTGGTTTCCTGGAGAGTTGTATACACAGTAACTACTGTCACCTACCTTACCCTGTGTCTTAAGTGGTATGTACTTAATAGCCGGTTTCATTTGGTGTGTACCTAATGACTGGTGTCATGTGTGTTTTTGAGCTTAGAGGCAGGGAGAGGTCACCCCAAAGGCAGTAAACAGTTTGGGGGGGGGTTGTGACACTGTCTCACTCAGGTCCTCTCTCTGCTTCACCTGGGAGGGAGTTAAGTTTCCTAGAGTCAACTGTGTTGTATGCAGGCAAAAACATTTAAAAAGTAACCACTGGAAGAGGCAGAAAGTAAGTGCTTTTTAAAAAGAAAACAAGAAATGTAACATCTTTTAACTTAAATGATTATGGGATACATAACCTCAAATGATTGGAGTCTGCCATTGATTCCAAGTAGCATCTAGAAATGATTAGAGTGTCTAGTTGTACTCTAAAAGTTTGAATATTTTATGGTAGGCAAATTGGACTTTGTACTTTTTAAAATCTCTAATGTGTTGGACGAGAAGAAGAAATGTGAAATTGTGTGCAGGCATATTATTTTCCTGTTCTTTGTTTACATTGTAGTAAGTACTTTGGTTACATTTTTAGTTAGTATTTTGGCTGACCCTATAAGATGAAGAGGCCAGAGAACGAAACATCAGAAGACATGAGATGTGATTATGATCTTGCTGAACTCTGATTAAGAGACTTGCTGTTCTCCACTCACTATCTTTTTTCTGTAGAGACTATTCATGTGAAAACTGCATCTTTTGTGTTCTCCAAGGTGGACACTTTTTGCAGTTATCATTTGCAAGGAAGGCATTTACACTAATATAAATGTGAGTGCTTTCTTCATAAAGAAAAATCGATTAAAATGTTAGAACTGCACTCTAGTTCTACTTAAATATTCTTCAGCTATCCTAAAATTGGTGCACTGGGTGGATGCCCGTTTGCATGTTTCTGTGAATGACATAGATTTATTTGAACTTACTCCCTTTTGTAACTTTCCCTCCGTTTCCCATTAGGATGGTTCTGATAGCACATAATAGAGGCATTCATATCCCAGCATAACTTAATTGGGATGTTAATTGGAGCAAAGAATTTTGACATTTGTAATGGAACTATCACATATTGTTAGGATAGTGGTTGCTTAAAGTCCTAACCAACTGCCAGAAGATTTTTATTTCCCTCCTTAGCCTTCAGTTAATTGACTTTAAAAAAACAAAAAACAAAAAAACAAAAGTAAAGAAGCATCATTAAATCTAAGCAAAGAGAATGTGCCATGAAAAGGAAAAAAAAAAAAAAACAAACAAAACACAAACTAACAAACAAACCAACAATGAAACTAGCAAATAAGCAGTGAACCTTAGTCTTCCACTCAATTGAACTTAACTTAAAATGTCAATTTTTTTTTCAGGGTGATAATTTTGTTGTTGTTCTGATTTGGGTCATGGCATAATAATTAAGACCACAGACCCAGAGGCCCAGTGACTTAGGTTTGAATCTCCCTTGGATCATTTAGTAGGCTCTTGGCAAATGACTTAAGTTTTGGCAGGTTCGGCAATGAAGACCAGGGAGTAACTGAACCAGCCACACAGTTGTGAGGATTAGGCCATTTCTGAAGCAGTGCCAGGCTCACCAGGGGAACTGTGAGGACAGGCTGCACAGTTGAGGTCCTCATTACAAGCACTGTTTCCTCCTTGGTTTAAGATATACAGAGCTGCAGAGCTGAGCTCCCATTTAGACTCTTGTGCTGTCAGTTGAGTTCTAATTTCTAGTTATCTAGCATGGAAGAAAGGTGATTTTCTGTCCCTTTAGTTAATCAATTCTGTTGATTCTGATACCAAAAAAGCCTGGATTATGTACCTATCAATAGTTTGTAAAGTTGCCTATATGAAGGCTACTTCCTAGAAGTGGTCATTTTGGCGCAGGTCCAGTGACATAGCCCTGGGTTAGAAAGCTCCTTACCCCAGAGCATGACTCAAATAAAACCTGAGACCTTACTCCTCTTCATTTTGAACTTTTGTTTTCTGTGGTAGAAGTTATGTGTAAAAACTTTGTACATTTATTGTTATTATGCGTGTTTATGCATAATGTATAGGGGTGTGAATGCTGTGACGTGAATGTGGAGGTCAGAAGACAACTTGCAGGAATGGGTTCTCTCTGTCCTGAGGATCAAACTCAGAGTCAACACACTTTTATGGCAAGTGCTTTATTGACTGAGCCATCTTGCTGGCTCAAAACTTTCTAGTTTTAGTTTTTAGTTTGATATATTGCTCCTTTGCTTTCCTCAGTGTGCCCTTGCTGTTTGTTTTTCTCTCTCCTTTTTTTTTTTTTTGTTTACAAAGCATATAAAGACTAGAAGGATGGATAAAATTATATATATGCATATTTATGCATATATGTGGACAGTTTTAACAATGGTGGTTTTGGTTTTTAATTCATTACTTCCTAACTCCAGGTATTATCTTTGACAAATAATAAATAGCTGAAATATAGCATCTGAGAGTTATCTTTAACCTTTGTCTCTAATTTGGTACTTTTGCTCACCAACATTTTCCTATCTGTGTAGCTTCAGGTTATGTGCTTTATATTGCTTAAGTAGTAATCTACAGAGAACAGCTGTGGCCATTCTTTCATCAGCTCATTCTGGAAACAAATTCTATTTCTCACTTCTGTTTTTTTCTAAGAATTGACAAGAGATGAAAGGCAGCTAGTTTACATCTGCTTTCCTTTGGTGACCATGAGCTACTTGCAGTGTCTGTGTCATACTGTCGTCCCAAGAGAAGCAGCTGCTGACTGAGGGTGTTAGGGATCTGTGGCTTTCTGTGGTTCTCTGTTGAAGTGTTTGGGATCTACAGTATAACCACGGAAGTAAGTACCATGACAGTGAAACATTGCTGCTGTGTCTCCACCACTGTGCAGGGGTCACCTGCACTGACCCACTTATTGCCATCTTAAAAGCATAGAAGTCTTTAAATACAGGAAGTTCAGTTCCGTGTAGCAGCGTGTTCCCTAGACTACTGTTCACGTGCATGCCTGTGCACTGCACCACTTGCAGGCTCTGTGTAACATGGGAGTTCAGGAATCCCTGGCATGGGGTGAGTGAAGGGAATGGAAGCTGCAGAAGAGAAAGAATTTACATATAAAGTTGTCCATGAGCATTCTTTTTGAATAGTCTAGCTGATAAACATGTGCATGAAATGGGTGACAATTTCGTGGGAGAGGTAGGGAAGAGGGAGGGAGAAATAGTCTACTGTTATTGACTTTTTTCAACTTAGAAAATTCTGGTTAGTGTCTACTGTGAAAGTGTTATAGAAGAATCAGAATCTTTACTTGCAAAAACGAACCAACAATATGTAAAGCAAAACATATATTTGAACACCTAAAAATACTTATATAATCCATTGTGTATTTGAGAAAATAAAACTAAGCGATTTGTTAGAGTTACTTAACACAATTTTACTATTAATAATAGGTTAGTTAGATGTTTAATCTTTTATTTTTGTGTGATATCTTCGATAATAATTTTCTGATTTTTTTTTAAGTCAGGTTTTTTTAAAGGGAAGCTTAGTATTTGGGACAATGTTTTCACAGTGAGATGTAGTGTAAGACCTTAGCACATGGTAGATAAGAGCAGTAGAAATCTCTTACGTCCAAGTGCTCAAGTTATTTATTTACTGTGCCATTGTAAAGCTACAGCTCCTTTGGCTGTGTGGCAAGCTTTGTAAAGTTGGTAACCTCTGTTACTCCTTGAAGTATTTGCTTTATAAATGGCTAAAACATGCCTGAGTTTGTGTAAAACTAAAAAAAAAAAAAAAAAAAAAAAAGTAGACAGTGGTGAATAGTGTTAGGTCAGAGATTTTACATATTTAAAAGATAGGCCAGTAAGCCAGACATAGTGTTGTGCACACCTTTAACCCCAGCATGCAAGAGGCAGAGGCAGGTGGATCTCTGAGTTTAAGGCTAGCCTGGTCTACACACAGAGAGAGTTTCAGGACAGAGAAACTCTACACAGAGAAACTCTGTCTTGAAAACCAATAAATGAACAAATGAATAAATGAATGATAGACCACTATCTGTTTATTCCTGAGATATGGAAAAGATTGATTTATGAGTGAGCCATGGTTGCTGACAACTTCCATAATTTTTCTGAAAACTAAATAATATTTTAGAAGTAAATTGGTTTTCTTTTAAGGCATACTTTAAGGCCACAGTTAAGCATCACTTAACATCACACTGAAATGTTAAAATATTATACAAAATGTTATATTTTGTATAAATAAAATGTTTAATTTTGGAACATTTAGTACATTATTATTTATGAAACTTTGCTATGTGTCAGATACTTGCTAGATACTGAGGTGATTAAGATAAGAAGGTTCCTGTTTGAGGATTTAGTAACAATTATCAAGCCAGTGAAATAAAATGTAATGGAGAAAAAAGTAAGCACACTGTACAGAGTGCTACAGTGTAGATGAGTTGAGATACATTATGTTTGCGCTGGGATTCCTTGTGAGGTCTTAACATTGTAATTTATTCTAGTTTGTAACCTTGTGATATACTACCCTAATCACTCGTGGTTTCTGAAAGCTGCTTTTTTCTGGCTGGTGACACTACTCTGGTGAGAAGCAGGGCTAGTGTAAATACCCAGCACTTACTCCCCTGGTGCTGCCTGAGCGGGTAAAGAAAGGTAGACTCATTGAAAACTTTCCTGCTTTACCCAACTACTTTAGTCTGCTAAGGAAATTTAAAATATAGCTTAAAGGATGGGGGATTTTTTTTTTTTTTTGCTAGTTTTAGCGTATATCATGTGAACATGAAAGATCTGTGCAAATTTTAAAATGACTATGTGTTGAGAGTGTATAACATTATTCTCATTACAGCATTTGAAACATTTTTAAAATCAGGAAGGCACCAACTTATAGAAAAACAAACAAAGAAAACAAAACAAAAAACTATACTAGGCATTTTACCTGCACGTTGCTTTAGAAGTCTATTTTGTAACAGTTGTTAGGAAGCTGCTTTTCTTCATAAATATGGCCAGTGGCAGCACCTTTTTATATTACCATTATTTTTTAAGGTGTTGGCATTTGAGCACTTAATCATACTAGGTACGGTACATGCTCCAGGGATCCCTCACAACATCATCTTGAGGAAAGTAGTGAAGTGGCCCAGAGTGGTGGCTCCTGTTGCCCAGAGTCACAGAGACATGATCAAGTTAGTTTGAATGGAAATTTAGGAGCACCAAAGGTTCAGTCCATTGTTCTTCTCAATCCCTCTAAGTCCCATGAACCTTCTGGGTTTTTGTAATCATTCATCTAATCTGCCTGGAACACCTTTATAAATCTGAGAAAAAGAAGAAGAAAGTATGTAAGATAAAACTGTGAGACCATGCTCATTTGAAAAAGCGGGAGTTGGAAAGAAAAGAATATTAGAAAATTGATAATCAGAACATTCCATAAAAAGTTCGGGTTTGTTCCAATTTCTTTGTTAATGACAGCTAGTAATCTAAGAACAAGCATAGATAATTGGTTCATTTTCTTTCCGTTGCCATAGCAGCTCATATTATGGAGACACAACTTGGCTCAGGTTCAGGAGTACTGAGTGGGGATTCTTAAATCTTTATTTTAGTGTTTATAGTAGGAAAAGCATGCTTGAAAATACTTGGCATGAACTCTAGTGCTAACGTCTTCTTGCTGTCTTAGGAGGGGCAGCCTTTGTCTAGAATCTTAGCCATCTCAATTGGGTAAGTTAAGTTAGACTGAACTAAGTTCTGGGAAGCTGCTCTGCATGCTAAGCCTTCAGATGTCTGCAGGGTATATTCTGCTGTCCGCAGTGAAAGGGTGTGATTCCATGAGAAGCACATGCTGTAAGGAGGGTGAGCAGCATTGCAGCATCCAGAGTCACGTTCTCCAGGCAGCCAACAGTGATGCCGCAGTGGGATATTAAGTATGATTTTCTCATTTAGTAGCTTTGCAGAAGTTTTCAGAAAGAAATAGTCTCTTAATGAAGGCTAATTATGGGGAAGCTTTCTCAGTTTGAAAGCTACTGGGGTTGTTGTGGATTTTTTTTGTTTATTTGTTTTTTAGTTTTATTTTTGTCACTTGATTTATCTGCTTAGTATTTTTCTATCTCCAAACTGCACCTGAAAAGCACTCTTGAGAAAGCAAGACCTTAATTTTTAATTGGATTTTTACATGGAAACCTTTTCCAATTAACATAAAGTTTACCTTTTTAAACTGCTTGGGTATTGTAGTTGGAAAAAACTGAGACTAACGTATTGGAGGGTGGTAATTGATCATTGGAGGTATTTTAAGTTACAAAGGAAAAAGTCTAAAGTAACTTGTTTTCTACTATGTTTATTTTAGCATGTCTCTTTATGTACAGAAATATCCAGTTAAATATCACTACCAAGATGCCTGAAATTGTTATTTTAAAATTCCTGTTTTAGCACTTTGCACACGCACACACCCACGTGTATCTCTGTCTATGTGTATATATGTGTCTTCTGCATATAAAATCTTAGAAAGTCATTTGCTTCTGATAGGTGGAGACTATCATTTGAATCATTCGAAATTGGACATTTATTAGAATTGTTTAAAAAAAGTAGTTTTTCTTACTTACATTAATTAAAAGCCAACTAGACATCAGTTCAACTTAAAGCTGGAGTTTTTGTTCATCTGTATATTTTAAATGCTAATGAGAAATATACCATGTAAGCCTTGCTTAGGTAAGACTGGCTTCTCTATCATGAGAGAAATTTTATATGGCAGTGCTATGGGACTCACATTAGGAACCAAGAATAGTTTAACATACTGGTACTCACTCAATTGTGGCTGAACATCTGAACTATTATTACTATTATTACAAAAACATCGATTCAGAATTTTTGAAGGTTGGACTGATATCTAATTCTGTAAAGCCCCATTTCAGTTTTTAAAGCAAATTGTGTGTGTGTGTGTGTGTGTGTGTGCGCGCGCGCGCGCCTCCCTTTAGAAAATACTTTTTGGGAGTGCTATAGAGAATGATGTATCCTGGGACCTTTAGCTCTACTGCTGAGAAATTGTTGAAGAGTCAGACCTGCTGTAGGTGCAGCTTAGTAACTTACATGTTTACCAAGCATACACGAAGTCCCAGGCTCTATCTTCAGCACCAAAAGTCAGTAAGTCAGGCATCCAAAGAGACAGAATAATAATCAAGTAGCCTGAAAAAGAAATACAACCTTTTTCCCTTAATCGGGAAACTCCCTTGGATACTGAGCTTTCATGGGCTACATCTGAGCAGGGGTTCTAGGTTATATCCATTCATGGTCCTTGTTTGGAGAAACAGTCTCAGAAAAGACCCCTGTGCCCAGATATATTTGGTCCTTGTGGAGCTCCTGTCCTCTCCAGGTCGTACTAACTCTCCCTTCTTTCATATGATTCCCTGCACTCTGCCCAAGGTTTGATTATGAGTCTCAGCATCTGCTTTGATACACTGCTAGATAGAGTCAGAGGCCCTCTATGGTAGGCTCCTGTCCTTTTACTTGTTTTCTCCTACTTCCAATGTCCCATTTGTCTTTCTAAGTGAGGATTGATCATCTTACCCCAGAACCTCTTCTTGTTTAGCTTCTTTAGGTATACAGATTTTACTCAATGGCGGGCTCTTTGACCCCCCCCCCCCCCCCCCCCAGGGAGGAGCAGCCCTGCTAGGCCACAGAGGAGTATATTGCAGCCAGTCCTGAAGAGACCTGATAAGTTAGTGTCAGATGGAAGGGGAGGAGGACCTCCCCTACCAGAGGACTTAGAGAGGGTCAGGGAGGAGGTGAGGGAGGGGGCTACCACTGGAATACAAAGTAAATAACCTGTGATTAATATAAAAAAGTAAAAATTAAAAAAAAAAAAAGAAATACAATCTTGAAAGAAAGCCTGATGTCTGTCTTTCTATGTTTCTCAGGAATGTAACTATTGCTACTGTGCTAGATGTAGGAAGATGACTATCCAAGGAAGTTGAGAGTCCCTGCTGGTCTCAGATACAGTGTTGTCACCAGTTACT